TTTATATATTTAAATAAATAAATAAATATTTATAAATATGTGTATATATAGGTCAAAAAATCTGATTTTTGAAATGTAAAAGTTGTTTTATTATTTTTGAAATAGGGTAAAGATAAAGTAGGGAAAGTGAATTTTTCCCTAATAGTAACCCTCTTGGCATGAATAGCACAAAGATTGGTATCCTCAAAAAGCCCAGCATGAATAGCACAAAGATTGGTATCCTCAAAAAGCCCAACCAGGTAAGCCTCTGCAGCCTCCTACAGCACCGTCACGACAGAGCTCTAGAATCGAATATCAGTCTTAAAGTGCTGGGCGATTTAATGACTTAATGAGCAATTTTTTATATGGCGGTGAAGAAATTCAAATTTCAAAGATACAGCTCGTGAGTATTTTTAAGCACCCTTCAGTTGCTTAAAAGCTGCAGAATGCTGAAGGTTTTAGATTGGAGGGGCGTTCCTCTGGAGATTTTCCCAGAGGCTGTTCTCGAACTGTCTCATTTAATATCTATGTTTGAGAAACATCGTATTGGATCTTAAGCAGACATACATCAATGAGTTGCCAATTGAGATTCTAAAACTCCAAAATCTTCTCCATCTTCTAGTATATCGTTATGTACCCTGCGCATATCTACCTTATGATTATGTACATGGTTTGGAAGTATTCAAAGGAACGGGCCGGCGTTGTCGATTCATATCCAGGAAGTTTAGCACTTATATAAATAACCATGATGAGCGAACTGAGGAGAGTTAGCATTACAAAGTTGAGAACCGGATATGGAGTAGCTCTATGTATGTGCATAGAGAAGCTCAAAAAGCTATGCTCACTATGTCTAAGATCAATAGACAGTGTGCCTAGTTCTTAGTCACCTGGCTTCTCCGCCTCTTTCCCTTCAGCGGGCTATATTTGACAGGACGTTTAGCAAAGTTTCCGAAATAGATACAATTCTTCCAAGCCTGGTTAAAGTATACTTCAGACGGAGTCAATCAAGGGATGGATGCTCCACTAGAATATTGCCTAATCTAGTGCATACTGAAATTCTTTCAAGTTATATGGGATAGAACTGAGTTTCAAAGCTGGAAAAGTTTTCGATTCTGAAATTATTAGTATTGACAAATTAGAAACCTTGAGGCATGTGATCATTGAGGAGGGTGCCATGCCTCATCTGGAGAAGCTTATGTTTCAGCAATGCGACTCCTTGGAGGGTGTGCCAGAGGGAATTGAACGTCTCATTGACCTAAAAGTTTCTTGAATTTTTTGAGAGGACAGATGAGTTTATTGGGCAACTCTCTCCAGCAAAACGTGGTAAAGATTACTGGAAAATCGCACGTATTCCATTAGATGAGAAGCAGGCAATTGAGAAATCTGAACAGCCTGGGGCTGCCATTGTTAGGACTCGAGAACAACTGAACTAGCTATGATAACAATCAGATGCGCTATATGGAGCTTCGCCGGTTCAAGCTTCCTGGTATCTCTGAATTCTGTTCAAGTCTATGGCCAAAATGTACATACTAACTAATTTCTTATTTTTCTTGTACTATAACTCTCTATTTTGTAGAATCCTAAAGTAGAGAATGTATTTGAGGAAGGAACAGCCACACTTTTTATGATCGTCTTATATTTATAGTAAGAGAGTTCTACAACGAGTGATTACATTCTGTTAGAATTCCTTTCCAAGGTTGACTCCAGAAGTTTTAACCAATAACATAACATGTTAGCTTCAGGAATTCATTACCAGTCCTCAAGCTTCTTATCCAGGGCCAGAACCGGTACTCTTGAATTCATTTTTTTTTTTGCATAATGCCCCAAGTACAGGGGAATTATTGCCAGGGGCCTACCAACCCCACATGTAATTTTAAAAAAAAAAAAAATGTGCAGGGCCCACCTATGTGTGTAGCCCGTAAGTTGCTTGTGAAGGTTCCACCTGTACTTCAAGCATTGCTCTTTTTTTTTTCCCTAACTTACCAAGCCATAACTTGTCTTACCAGAAATGAACTTCAGTTCAATATCATTTGTAAGCCCTTTACTCTTTCAACCCATGATTCTTGTTCAATCTTAGACAAAAAATTCTGTTCATCATAATTTATTGCACAATTTCACGTTTCAGGAAACTCTCGTAGCATTTTGGATTTTATTCGAAGAACAATTCTTGCCTAAATTTTGATATCTTCATCAAGATCACATGCTAGTTAGACATACTTTATACCCGGTGTTTGAGTCAAAACTCTCTTGGCATTCATCTCAATGTTTTAACATGCTCGTGTAGTTTTTCTTCATTATCGCCTCAATAGCTTCGATCTTACAAGCAGACGCTCAGTTTCTCAATTTCATTTCGTACTACTCTTGACGGGTTAAAAACACTGCACGTCGCTGAACATTTAGCAAAATCTCATGTTGGTCACTTCAACTCGGAATGATCAAACTGTAAACGAACTTTTATGTTTAGTGATCCAATTGTTGCAAGATTGAATCAAGGAAACATGAACCCCACTTGGAGTACAGAATATTTTTTTTACAGGTGTTGTATAGATAACACACATGGTGCGATCCGTGCAAATTTTTTTTTTTAAATGCATGTGGTGCCGCCACATTGTGAGTGACCTGTAAGGACATTGTGAATAAATCCCAGGAAACATTATCTTGCACGCCCACAAAAACTGCAGCGGAGTCGAATCAGTCTATCCCAAATTGAGACAAGTTCATCCCATTAATAATTATTAAAGAGGAAATTACAATAATGTCCATTTTGCAATATTTAAGATCAAAATAGCTTTGTTAACCATTTAAAATTCCACAATAAAGACAAAAATGTGCTTACAATTAAAAATTTTGTTGGCCTACAAAATTTTGACACATAAGCTGCTCTACTTATTTTAAAAATACACATATCAAATCACCATAAATGGTATATTTCTCATTGACACGGATATTAAATATTAAGAACTACATTTCAAATGTCAAGAACGTTATAAAATGTTGAAAACTCTCATGTTTGGGATGAAATCTCGTTCTAAAAAAATGAAATATCAAGATAAAAAGAGTTCAAATATCGATAGCTTTTGAAACTTCGAGAACATCATTTTAATGCAACTTCTTATGAAAGCTACTTCTCGAAATTCGTTACAAATTGAAAAAAAAAAATTTGCTTCATTTTTCACTAAAGCTATAATAGACAATTTTAGTACTAAATTTGGTCATTTTTGCAAGAGTTATCAAAATTAAACACATTTTAATTGACAAGCATGAAATTAGACATTTTTGTTAATTCGCCATAATTAAACATAATTCTGTTGGAAAGTTGTTCCATTAAACCAACTTTCTTTCTCCAAGAAAAGATACAGCTACTACTACAAATTCTTAAGAGTGTTTTGGAGCCACTTAACGGAATAATTGATTACCCGAACTTGCCACAAGAGGTCTGGCATAAGTCTAAGAATATTGCTCCTCTCTGTAACAAAGACATATTTTTCGACCCATTTGGTTGAAATAACAACTAGAAGGTAGCCTACCACCTCCCTCGAACTCTTTGAAGCTTAGGCAGCCGAATCCAAATAATAAAATGGACGAGTTTCCATCATCCCACAACAAACCTGGCTAAACGAATTATTTGTACGACAACTAAACGAATTTAAATAATACACTAAAGATTACACCAGTCTTCCCCATGAAAGGCTCCTGAATACATTAAGGAAATAAAGTTTTGTCTCCTCTTTCAAAGATTGTGCTGATCTACATAGACGAGAATGTCTGTGCCCGTGCCTGAGAGCATTTATAAGCATCCGAAGTACGGGATGCGTATGAAACCCCATCTTGCCTATTATAGTATGTACTGAAGCAACTCACAGTATATCATTTGCCTCGTTTGATTTACTAGAGCACGTGCACTTTGCCTTTTTGTCCGTGAGAGTCTAAACAATAAAGGAGAAGATGAAGTTGGTGAAAGATTTCGTGTGAATGATAATCTTTTGAGTGAAGGGATTAATCCATTCAATTACCTCGACTTGATTCTGAAGGTCTTTAATGTAATCAACAGCCAAATCTAACATATCAGCTATGCTCGTTTGCTGCGAGAAATGACACGGAAAATATCTAAATTCATAGTGACTTCCAGTAAGGAAATAAAGCATTTACACAAATGAGGCTACAAAATCTACCTTGTCCATATTGGGAAATAGTTCTTGCAACTTCTTCATTCTTTCACTAATCCGTGTGCGTCTCATCTACAAATTAGCCAACTAAAAGTTAAATACTGTTCGAAGGACTAACCAAGTGAACTTAAATATGAGAAAGAAAAGTTACCCTTTCTGCAATGCTTCGTGGATGAGTGGCGCAACCTCTCTTGGCCCGAATTTGAAGAGGAACAGTGTCTGGTTGAAATTGTAGATACTTTTCTACCGCAGCCATTTCAGCAGAAGTTTTTGGCAAGCTCAAATGGTGTGTTAAACCTTGATTAGGGTTTCTAGTTTCCACACTCTAGATTGAAAAATAACATTAGCAATGTATGTAGCGCAAGGGAACAAAACGAAAATTGAAGTGCAAAAGAAGAAGTAGCCTACCTGATTTTCAGATCCACCAAAATTAGAAAACATCTTTGAGTCGACATCTCTGTTCCTTTTTAATCTGTTGAAAGAAGAATCGTTCCACGTGTCTTTTGGAAAAGCAGCATCATATTCTTTGCCATTAGCACTATTACCATTTCTCCATTGTCCGTTCTCAAGGTTAGTCAAACTTACACCTTCATTTCCATTTTCGGGTATGCTGGGCATGAACCTTGATCTAGAAGGTGCACCAGATGAGAAGTTCAAGTAATTGTTCAAACCATTTGCTGATGAATTGGCTTCTGCACTTGTCCCATTACTAACTCGGTAATTTCCTGCTTCTCCCGTTACATCATAACCTGGGATGGAACAAGAAAGTTTTTTAGCAATCCTCTCAATTATACCGAAAAAACAAGAAAATAACCTTCTGTTTAACTTTTAATCAATCAAAATACTAACAAGAGAACTGCTTTAAACATCTATTTTCATTGCTATCAGATATTCTAATCAATTATTTTCTAACTTGAGTTTTATGGTAAAGAATTCAGCCCCAGAATCCATTTATGGCTTGTTTTGTAGAGCGGATTTGACAGAACTAAACACTTATCTGCAACACGATCTAGTCCAGTATTGTGTACTTTGCCCTTCGGGGCCTTGGGGCTTCCACTTGTAAGGTAATCTATATAATCCATGTACAAGAATAGTCAAGAATGAACAGATATTCATCGTTAACAAAAACCTCCCCCGCCCCCTGCCTTCCATGAGATAACTACAACAAAAAAAAAACAGTACCTTAGTCCCCCCAAAAAATGGAATAGGGAGAGAAAGAGAAACCATATGCTGTAGAAATTTTCCTTCTCCCTTATAAGATTATCCTTATATAAAGAATTATTTATGGAGGATTAATTAATCTGAAACAAGATTTAGTCATTTTTCTCATCACTTTCCTCAACTCTCACCAGATCCAAAAATCGGCTAAAAGTCAACCATGAAGAAACGTGGATCTATTCTACTTTTCAAGCTCAAAATTTCAACCCAAAAGTAACTAATTTAAACAAGTAATACCAGGCTGAAATTAATCCAAATCCCAATATAATCCAGCAAATTTGCTTACAAAACAAGCAAAAAAATCCATACCAGAGAAAAATCCAGCAGGAGAACTGCTTTGCCTAACAAGATTTGAGCAATTCCCATTTCCATTATTCATCCTCACTCCAACTTGATTCTCCATTCCAACAGAATAAGATCCCACAATAGAACCCCCACTTTCATACACCCCTTGTGAAGTAGATCCATTACAGAATCCATTTTTTCGGTTACCGGCCTCGTTTTCGACACCGATTTCTTGCTTCATGGCCCCCCCAGAAGAATACTGCAGCTGATTCTTCTGATTCAGATCATCATCGCGGGTCTCATTCATCAGGGCAGAAAACATACTCTCGGGTTCATTATCGGATTCCAAAAGGGTCGTGAAGAACGAGCTTGGGGCTGACCGGTATCGCGCCAATCCACAGCTCTGCTGCGACGGCGCTGCTGCAGCCGCCGCCGGCTGATTCTTTAAAAAATCTGAATCCATCATTTCTCTACTCTTCAAGAATTCTCCCTCAGAAACATGCTTGGCCCTGTTATTATTGGGGAACAGGAAACAGCTGCTGCTACTCATATCTCTTGGAATAGTTTCAGGGCTAAACATAGTGACAAATTAAAACCCAAAAATCAGTACAATTTCGTACAAGAGCTATAGTGAAAAGCTGCAAAAAAAAAAAAGATGAGAACTTGGGTTTCCTGAAAAAGAAAACACTGAAAACAAGGGGATAATTTTTGAAGAAAATGTGTTGAAACTGAGAATTAACAGAGTTTTTGCTATTTCCGTGAATGGAAAGCCAATGTTTATTTATGGAGTGAGTTTCCTCAAAAAGCCCTCGTTTTCATCCATCTTACACAAATCGATTGATGCATCAGCTGAACCCCATTCCCGTTTACACATGCTTGAAAAGTCACTTCTATTGACAAAACTACCCTCAGACAGAATATAATATTATTCCTCGAACTTATATAAAGATTAAAAGATTTTAATTTAAAACGAATTTTTATTGACTCCAACGAGTCAATAATGGGATATTTTGATATTCTTAAGATGCTTTGTCGAGGATCATTCATAAGTTCGAAATTTACTTGTATGAATTGAAGATTCCAAAGAATAATTATCATAGCTGATTCGGGCATCAATTCGATTGAGTGACTGAATCATTTGATCACTGGATGAATCAATGGGTCAATAATCCGATAGATTAAGGTAATTTAAATTTTTTGACAATATAATATTTTTCAGACAAAATTAAAATTTTAAGACATTTGTCACTACTTATTTTTATATCTATAAATTACTAATATTGTAAATTTATACGTTAATATTTAATTTTATAATTTTGTATATTATCGAATTTTTAGTTAAAACTTATTTGTTCTCATTTTTGTGACGTACTAACATTTATAAGTTGTCAGTAAAAAATGTATGTATATTAAAGTATTCGATTCATCTCAACTAAAAATAAATTCTCCATACAAGTAGTAGGCCCCCGTTTGGTAGAACTTAAAATCAAAGTTTAATCAAAGCCAAAGTTAACAATTAATTTTAACCACATATTTCATTGAATACAAAACTTTTTAACCATACATTTCATCAACTTCTCTTAAAATTTACTAAAAATCTTATTTTAATCCCCACCAAATAGGTGCTAAGTGTTTTATAGAGCATAGAATATAACGAGATTGCATTTGTTTTAGGATAAATTTGCAAGCCTTAAAAGTAAATGTTTAAAACTTAGTCAACTTGTCAAATTGGGCTGTCAATTTACTTGGACTTTGAACGATTCTTGACCGGGTTAGTTGTATTTGGATCAACAAAACCCATCCAACTCCGGGTCTTCGTCTTTCGACAAATCGAATTAAGTCAGATTTATAACTATAATCGTGAGTAATGATAAGTCGAAGAACACCATGTTCCGATGAAAAGTGACAAATTTTTAAGAATTCAATTGAACGAAGAGGATGAGCCATCTATTCATTGCCATAGATGTAATTGAGACTACCTTGTTCCACTGCATAGTTATTAGGGGTTGCTTGATGAAATTTTTTATAGAAGTTTTTAGTAAGTTTTGAATAAAGTTGATGTAAATTGTGATTAAGAATTGTAGATTTCTTAAAATATGTGATTAAATTTGAAATTTGACCAATTGAAAATTTAATAAAATATTAACAAAATTTTATCAAACAAAAACTATACTGCCGCAGATGCAGAGGCTTTGGCACTCGGAGAAGGATTGGTCTTTGGTGAAATGGGGTTGAAAATTGATGTGGTTGAGTGTGATACTCTTCGAGTCCTTGACAACTTGACATTTTCAAATACGAATGATCTTATTATAGCTCTCTCGAAAGTTGAAAGATACACTAGTGTGATTCATATTATTTCATACTTTGGGATAGAAACAAAATAGCTTAGCCAACTCTCTAATTTATTTTGCTACGAGTTCCTTGATTGGTTGAATTTCTTTATTTATGTCATCTACCGTTCGCAACGCTCTATTTTTATTAAAGTTTGATGTCGTGTTCTAAAAAAAAAAAAGGAATTGCAGCGATCTATGTAGTGGATCCAAATAATTCTTTATTCCTTATTAATGATAACATAAAATAAAATATATTTTCATATCTCCACAAAGAACCCATAAATCGATAGTGCAAAATAAGAGAAGAGAGGTACAAAAAAGTTACTTCAATTAATAAAAAAATTCTAGAGAAATTAAATTATTTCTTCAATTAGATATTATTTATATATTAATTTTTGTCAAAGGCAGTTAAGTAACCAATGCTTTGAAGAATAGAAAACTTGGCTTAAAGGTTAAATTGACGACTAAGTGTGTGGTTGGGAAGGGGCAAACGTGGAGACTTTTCTGAGCTGTAATTAATTATTTATCACGTTTAATTTAATCAATCATTGTTGGTATGCTCAACTAAATTTAAATAAAAAGTTGCAAACTATTTATTTATTTATATACATTTTTGACTCTTGAAACCGTCTAAGAAGATGCATGAATGTATTGAGACTTTAGAGGGATATTTTTGTCATTTTCGGTCACAATCCTTTTGACCGAAAACTAGAATAAGGGATAATTGTAATAACGGTCCTCAACCTTTGACTTTTTCGCAAAATTTACCCTAAATTTCAGCTTGTACCCCCAACAATCTCAAACATTTGAAAAATTAACACTTGAGGTTCAAATGAATGATTTCTGTTAGTTTTACCGTTAGTTGACCCATAAATTTGACTTTAACCAAATCTAAACTATTTTTTAAAGGATAAAATAATAACTTTGAATTAAAAATAATTTTTAAAAATCAAAACACAATCATTATTCATCTTCTCCTTCACACACCTACCCCCACACCCCACCTCCTCCTAAACCCAAAATCAGTTGGTCCCGTCTTACCACTTTTTGTCACCACTACTATCATTGCCCTCCTCTACCGACTTTGTTGTTGTTCCCGTCAACATCTTATCCCTAATTCTTCCCTCTTCTTCCTCGCACTCCAACAACTCATTTCTCATATTACTGTGAGCAAAATGGTAATAACTTCGGCTAGCGGTAGTCACCAAGAATTCACAGCAAAAAATGACAGGAATTTTGAGATTTAGGGCTTGTTTGAGCCCAATTCTTGTCAAAAAAAAGCATTTGAATAGTGTACTGATGAGAAATGTGTGGTTAAAAAATAAGGATTTTTTTAATTACGTGTAATATTATTTTATTGAAAAATTTGTGGTAGAAATGTGATCGAAACAGTTCAATAATGCATATTCTTTCAAAAAATGAGGCTCAAACAAGGGATAAATAGAAAACAAAAAATAATGATAGAACAAGTGAAATTGCCTCATCTTTTATCATTTTTGTGTTAAAATTGAAATTGAAAAGTTGCAATTTTCCCTTACTTGCGTCGAATTACTGACCACCACTCGAATTTGTTGAAGTGCCTCCCATGGGGTTACCTAATTAGGGTGGTTGGTTTAGGTGAGGAGAGTTGAGGTGGTGGTGTGGGTCGGTGGCGATTGAATATGTAAGGGGACAATTTTTTGGTTTTGATTTGGTGAAGTGGGGTGGATGATGGGTTTATATTTTTTTGGTTTTTTAAATTTATTCTTTACCTTATTTTATGTATAAAATATAAAGTTACAATTTTACCATTTCAAAAATGGTTTAGATTTAGTCAAAGTCCAATTTATGGGTCAACTAACGTTCAAACTAACATAAATTATCCATTTGGACCTCAGATGCTAATTTTTTAAAGGTTTGAGATCGTTGGTGGCACAAACTGAAGGTTAGGACAAATTTGCGAAAAATCAAAAGGTTTGGAACTGTTCTACAATTATCCCTATGAATAACGGTCTGAGTGAAGTGTTCAAAACAATATTTAGGTCAATTCTTATCCATTGTAAATTCAAATATTATAGAAAATTTGTATTTATATTTTACTTTAATTAAACAATGAGATAATTGTCTTTTCAATAGAATGTGACTGTCTACTAGTAATTTAGGCATGCTTTAATTCCCATTTTTTTTAAAAATATATTTTTCTCTCTTCCTTTCGATCACATATTTTTCAATATAATAATATTGCAAAAAAATTCAAAAAAATTTCTTATTTTTTAACCACAAATTTTTCATAAATTTACAAAAGCAAAAGGTTGAAAACATTAATGTTACAAAAATTTATGGCCTCGTTTGTTTTATTAGGAGTTTTTAGTAAGTTGATAACTAATTATCGTTTCAATTATAGAGTGCAATCAAATTAAAAAAAAAAATAAAGATTGTTCAATGGGCACAATTTTGTCCAATTTTATTAGCACGTAATCCTTGACATCTTAATACCTTGTAATAAAGATGAACAATCCAATTTAATATAAGAAGGAATCGACTAATAAAAGATTTAAAAATCAACATTTCACACTAAGGGAGTGTCTGGGAGCAATTTTTGCAAGGAAGAATCAATTTTTCGGTCACTTCGTGCGGGGCCCACTGTTCAGAATGAATATGCACGTTATGTACGAAAAATAAATTTTACGAAAATAATATTTTTAGAAAATGAATAGTTAAAGAGTAGAAAAAATTATGTCTATACGTAAACTTATTTTATTACGAGAACGTATGATTAAAAAAAAATTTAAAAAAAATTAAAAATTTTATACCAAAAACGAATTGAATAAAGTTGAAAACAAGACAAGTTGGCAGATGACCGTATGATGTTATTATAAGAAAAATGTTTGTGAGTTGTTTCGAAAGTCAACGCTTATTTGCAAAGTCTTCTGATGATTATGGGAAATTTAAGGTCAACTTTGCTCAATAAGCAACGGAAATTCATGTTCTCACTTGCAAAATCTGGCTCTACACAAACCAAACCAAAATTAAATAATAGTAAAGATTCACGTAGGGTTTGTATGTTAGGCCGAGCATTCGATATTACGGAAATAGGTGTTCTAGTTGGTCGAGCTTATTTAACTTTTATTAGTAAAATTCAGTTGGCATGGCTTGGGATACGAACTACCTTGGGTCTAGCCAACCACATCCACAAAGTTATAAATCGTGACATTGAGAATAGATTTGGCCACTACAA